GTATGTTTGATGACAGACCAATGTGGATCTGAGATTCAGAGTTCATTTATGTATTCCAGAACTGGTTTTATTACRTTTCACCTTCCCAAAACTAGAAGGTAATCCCTACAACCACTTTGGGCCACGCTGCAGGCCCAAGCTTGGCATTTCTTTTGTCTAGGAGCTCATGAAGATGAAGAGGCCACTTTAGAAAATGCCGACTACTTTAGCAGAATATCAAACCATGAATACAATGTCATGAATACAAAATCACAAGATCTGTTAGCCATTATACAACAGCATCCTCTGAGAGAGTTCACACATAGAATTTTAATGACTGACCTTTAATGCTGTCTACAAAGCTGGAACTCTCCATCACGTCTACATTATGGAAAGCACTTATCTATGAGCTCCATATAAACACGAAACACGTATCTATCATCTCCAGTGTAAGAGTCACAATAAAATGAAAGCTGATTAACCTTAAAGAATAGCAGACAAATGAAGGTAACAGCAAATTTAGCTTTGTTTTCAGACAAGATGCTGTTTCTGCAGCAGTAGTATTACAGGAACTATTTGCTGCAATTCTTTCCTAGCTTGTTTTCTGTGAAGAACACCTAAAATTTTTTTTTTCTAATATTCGTAACAATTTGGCTAACTTTTGTAAACCAAGTTTGATCCATGAGTTGCCATTCAATAATCAAGATAAAAGCTTCTTCTTAGTTAAAACATCCTGACAGCTATACTAGAGTGCAAGCATGTGAATGCCCAAGTGTCCTAGCTCTGCTGGCGGTAAAACCTGAGTGCTTACATTGGTACATAAACCAAACCAGTATTTTAATAGCCAAATCAAAACTCTAYGCACATTTTAACAGACACAAGTAGCAAATGCTTTTATCTGACTCATTATTTAAAAAAATTAGTCTGTACCATGTCTTATATRCTGCCTAAAAATACATTTCTACAAGATTCACTCCAAAAATTTATATTCTCTAAAAATGTATTTCTGCAACTTCATTGGTATCTGAGACATCATGTTCACTTTTATATTCATTTTTCACAGAAACTCAACATCTCGTTGCCTGCATCACGGTGATTCAGGACAATGACTGAGGAAGCACTGACCCTCACCTTCCAAGTCAGTCGTTACAATTTCTAATACCAGTCCGGTGGCCTGGGAAATCATCATAATTTCAGTTTGATTCACAGTGTGTACCTACCCACAGAATGCAGCCACATGAACAAGTAGCACATTTTCAGTATGTCACACATTTGGCCACCATGTAAGGTCACTTGTATTCCATTTACACCCTTGTATTCTTACATTCAGGTTCATTCAGGACAGTTTTGATCCAGTGGTGGGGAATGTGAGATGTAAAGTTTACCTGTCCTGGGAGTGATGGGCAGAGCTACTACCTTAATTCACAGGCTAACCATTCCTATAAAGAAAGCCTCGCTTTATTTTAAATAATTAAAACTTGAAGGAAGTATTTTGCTACAAACTTACATGTTCCACATCTATCTCTATTTCTACATAACTGGAAAGAACAGCAGCTTCGTACAGGACAAGGCTTTGAACAGACACTATTCAAATCTGTAAGGGCAGCACCGCCCCCTGGTGTTACACATGAGCCAATTTAGGTACTGTGAACCTTTCTAACAAAAAAAAAAAAAAAAAAAAAAAAAAAAAAAAAAAAAAAAACAAACAAAAAAAAACCCTCCAAAACCCAAAACCAAAGCAATAAAACAAACAAACAAAAAAACCTAAACTACTAAGCAAGTTCTCCTCATTTTCAGGTTGATAAATTTAGCTTACAGTAAAAAAAAAAAAAAAAAAAAAAAAAAGACATTTCCTAGCTCACCTGGATACTGCCATCCCCTGGGATTCTGGTTTCCTTCATTTTTAGAAAGTGGAATCCAAATTAATTTTAGGCAAGTATCTTCCTACCCACAAGCAGTTTGCAAATCCTAAATTAATACATTCTCAATTTGTATCTTCTTGAACAAATGCACTTCGGTACACAGAATACAATCTTGTTCTTTACCATACATTTTTCAGTACTGAAGCTTGCTAAACTCATTTATGCATGGATTCTAAACTGAGTTTACAGAGAAGGCAATAAAGCACATCTTATATGGACTCAATGAGTTTGCATCTGGGATGGAACATCATTGCAACAGACGAACTGACTTTAAATCAAAAAATACKTCTTTTTCCTTTAAAAGTATCCTCACAACAGTTTTGCATAACAACAGTTCTGAAGTGTTTGAAACACACAAATAAAAGAGCATCTCCTCAACACAAGGGACTCACTCTAGCTATAATCACCAGTTAATACACACAAGATTGTATGTGCAACCATACAACTGGCAGCTCCAGAGCAGACGTCTGCAGGGCTGTCTCCTCTTTGAAAATGCTAATACAGCTGACACCGTGTTAACTTGTTTTCTCTTTTCTGTGAACACAAAATGAAAATGCAAAGCAGTTCTCTGAAAAGCATGGAACAGACATCTGCTTTGGCTCAAGACCATCAGCAGAGGAGCAGCAAGAACTGTGCCTGCCAAACAGCCACAAAAAGGTCTTGCCAGGCCTGGAGAAAGCCAAACATGGACTGTACCAGCACGAGCACGATGTTTTCTTCTACAGTGGATTTCTACTGGCTATGACATTTGTCGAAACAACCCATTTTCACCTGGAGGTGACTATTTCAAATTCATCTCAGGGCACAAATCTGCGGCTCCAGCCCAAAATACACTGCATGAGCAGATGTATTGACAGTGAAGTGTTACAAGGTATTAACAGTCTCTGCAGGATCCAAACTAAAGGCGTGAGGAATCATGGTTGTTTCTGATCCATGTACAGTACAACACGTTGGCAAAACCCACCTAGATGCTAATAGGCAAATAAAAGAAACAAATTAGCATAAAAAAATCAGTCTCATCATTTTGTCTGTCCTCAGGCCTGACAAAACCCCTGAATTTCACCTGCTGATTCTTCTCTCAGCTTCATAATCTGTGTTTCAAGTAACAACCCCAGATCAGGAGCCCAGGAATGAAATATGGAAGATAGAGGCTATGCATTAAGGAATCTCCAAAACATATGTTGTACAAAATAATGAATATCCACCTTCACCATTGGTGAAAATGCTTTCTATTAAACCCAGTCAYCAAAAAGGCAGTAGAATATAATTTCAAAAATAATTTAGACAAACAATTTAGCTATAAAATTTGCACAGATCTCAGTACCATGTGCAGATACAGTTAACATACAACTTCTTGAAAATAAAATATTTAGTTTCATTTCCCATCACGCTCCAAAAAAACTGTAATTCAAGAAGAAACTGCAAAGGCTTGAGGAAAATCTTCTCTTTAAAAAATATCTTTAAACAGGGCTGTCCCGTAATACTTAGAGAATAGCTTTTCTTTCACACTCCAGTGCTGTTAAAACAATATGAAGGCAACACTACTCAACACTGAGTGACAAATTTATTTATTATTCAAGTTTATTATATTTGAAAAAATATAACAAATTTTTAACATGTTGAGTGCTTTTTGACATCAAAGCACAGAAGCATATTGTTTCACATACTTTTTTACTTTGAAGGATTTATAGATGATAAAATAGCAAAAAATGAACTCAGGCTGCAATTAATCAGACAAAGTGGAGACAAGAAACAAACTTTTCTCACCCAGGCTATGCTCCTCTTTTTGTCTCTTTTCCCATTTTGAGCTATCCACATAGGCTGAAGAAAGTAGAGATCTTCGACCTAATGAAGAGAGAAATAGTTATGTAAACTGGGTTGCTTAGCTCTTAACACTTTCTTGGTATCACCTTTTTCAGTCACATTTACCAGGTAGGATGCATTAAACTGTCTTTATGCTAGTAGCTGCTAAATTAACAATTCAGATTCTTTATATGTGGATTAGCCATTACCTTAAAATATTTAAAACTGAAAAGCTTTTCCCAAAAGTTTTTTCAGCATGAAACAAGTATTTCCAAACCTGAACTCTGCGTTTAAGAAAATGGCCAATTTGTAAAGGTAGGAAAAAGCCTCAAAAAACAATAAAAGCAACTTCTTTGTGCACACACACCTTTTTCATCAAATGTTAGCAATTAGGTAAAAGCAGATTAAACGAATAAGCAAAAAAATGGCTACACACAAAAAGGCTTTTCAGTTGTTGCTGAATGGTTATTTTTTTCCATCTATAAGGACTTGTCTCATTGGAAATACTTTTTTTTGTAATCTCCATTCTTCCATCTCCTGTAAACTGCAGACTCACTGAAAAGTTTTTTGAAAGCTTTTTCTATATAATCTTTGTACAATCAAAACTGCTTAAGACACTGTGCTAGCTTTGGAAACAAAACAGAAAATGCTTCAGCTGGAAGACTATATATCAGTCACAGATATGGAGGTCTTGAAAATGCGTAAGTAACACCTAGATAAAACTTGTAGAYGATACAGAAACACATGCACCAGGTTCCAGAAAGTAATGCGGTGAAATAAGAATATTTTTAGAATTGACACTACAAAGCTACACAGAAGTCTTAGCAATTATTTCTTTGTGAAACAAATTTTCTAATCATCCTTCTGACACGCAATTATACACACAAATCCAGCACTGAACACCTCACGAAACTATGGAACACAGAATTCTGCAGTTAGACTACAAAAATATGTACAACACTTTAACAAACAGTAAAAAAAATAAGAAAGCAAGGACTTTCGGGTTGGTTAATGGGGCTTCCTTTAGCATTCTTTTTCGTTATGTTGGTGAAAGAAGCGGACAAAAGATCCGGTGATATTCGGTGTGGAGGAACCTGGGTTCTGTTGGTTTTTTCTTTAGCATTAACTCCTGCATATTCATTCACTAAGGAGCTAAGGAGGCCACAAGCAAGCATGAGGCTTTAGAGGGCTGTTTTGCGTAGCACAGCCCCGCGTGTGTAGCGCTGTGCCCGGGTGTGCCCAGGCCCGGCCCCAGAGCAGGGCGGCGCTCGGCCCGCGCGTCTCCCGCTACGAGGAAGCGACACTGAGGAACGCGTGCTCGGCCAGGGTGAAAGGCACCCATCAGCACCACGCTGTACCCAAGCGTTATTGGGCTCTTTTTTTCAAAGATCAGATCTTTGGCTTTTCCAAAACATCAGCCCTGGTGGCGCCCCTGACACCGGCGTTAACAGTTTTGGTAAACACGCACGTTTTGCCACAGGCTCGGCGGCATCCCGCAAAATCTCCCCGACCCAAAAATGCAGGTCCTACCACGTCGAGCTATGAAACCRGCACGGGCGATTATCTGTTATAAAACAAATTGCGAACACTCTCCTGCACTGCATACTAGCGATAAAACGTCTTCTGAGCTGCCTCCAATTCCACACATACACACACAGAAAGGAAGGAGGAAAGGTGAGTGAGATCCCTGCGCAGCACCCCGTCCCTGCTCATGCTCCCCACCGCAGCCAGCGGCAGCACGACGAGCAGCACCGCGCCCCACGCTCCGCCAGCAGCGCACCGACCTGGGGCCGCGCCGAGAGCGCTCCCGCTGCAGAGCACGGCGCGCCGGAGGATGGGGGCGGCCATGGCGCCGAGGCCGGAGGAGGCGGGCGGCAATGCGGGGGGCTGGGAGCGCCCCGCCCCGTGGGCCCGGCCTGAGATGGCGGCGGTGCTGGCGGGCGGCTCTGGGCGGGCGGTGCGGCAGGCGGCGCGGCGCTCGGCGGTCCGCTGGGGCGGCTGGGGCTGCGCGCCCGCAGGTACCGCGGGCTGCGTGGCGGGGGTGGGCGCCGGGATGCCCGGCCGGGGCTCAGGGCTGCCCGCCTGCTGGGGAGGTACCGGAGTACTGCAGGTCCCGGCAGGCCCGGCGGGCGCCGCCAGCCATGTGCCTGACGGGAGCTGTAGTTCCTGCGCGGTGAACTCTTCTCGGCTCGGGGTGTCGTGGCGGGGAGCGCCGCGGGGCTCCCGGGGGCTGCGGTTTGTGCTGCGGTGCGCAGGCCGAGCTGGCGCGGCGGAGATGCCCCGCGGGGAGAATCGGCGTTGCAGATTCAGAGAAGCAGTCATGTAATGGCCTGGGTTGGAAGGAGCTTTTAATACCGTCCACTTCGAACCCTCTGCCATGGGTACACCTTCCCCCGGACCTGATTGCCCAGAGCCCCRTCCAATCTAGTCCTGAGTATGTCCAGGGATGCTATATGCACAGCCTATTCTGACCAGCCTTTTCTGCTGTCTCACCAACCTTGCTGTAAAGAAGTTCTTCCTTATATCTTACCTAAACCTATTTATAGTCAAAGCCTTTGACTAATCAAAGGCCATTCCCCCCGTCCTAGCACTACATGCCCTTGTGTATGTCCCACACCAGCTCTCTTGTAGGTCCCACAGAAAGGCCACAGTAAGGTCACCCCAGAGGTCTGTAATAGCATATCCCCTCTTGCTGAGGGATATCATATTTAAAAGAAAACGATAGAACAAACACACATGCAGATTCATAAATGTGTATTTATTCTGGGAGGATGATAGCGTTATCCAGATCTTGTCGGGATTCAGAGATGAGGAAGTGAAGGCACATGGAAAAAGTGTATGACAGATGGTCCCCAGTGTAGGCCCTGGCTGGCCTCCTGGCCTGCTGTGGCAGCTGTGGTGAAGGTTTCACTCAGGTTACACCTCTGTTAGAGCCCTCAGAGACATGGAGCCCCCTGCTCCGAGTGGTGCTCTGCCCACCCTCTTCCCTGGCCAGCCTGAGAGAGGGTTGCRGTGTGCCTGAGGCTAAGCAGGTTGATGGGTTGAATTCTCTGGGATAGCCTGCACCACCTGCACATGCCAGSCCTCATATCCTTTTCCATTGGTGGTCCTTTGGATTTTGAACTGGTTTTGTAACACTGTTAAGGTATGATCTAAGAAAGCAGTAGAATGCAGCAAATTAAATTAATGAAGGGTAAAATTCTGCTGCCCCACACTCTGCTGACACTGTCTGTTACCACTGACTGTCTATGATGTGTGGTGCACTAGTCCCACCCCAGGCACCAGTATGATTCCTACACCAGCTTTGGGGAGGCCCATAAGAGGGATGGTCTTTCACTGCTAGAAAAGCAGAGATAGGGGGAAGGAAACGGCAGCGTAATACTGGTTAATTTCATGCTGGATGAAATAGATTTGTTTACCCATTGGAACTGTTTCAATTGAATCTAATGGAAAAATATTCCATTTAATGAGTTTTTTTTCTTCAGGTTTTACGAAGTGTGTCATAATCATGCTTCACTTGCATTGAAAACAAGCGTTTTTATTTGCATGGCCAGTTAGATTTTCCTAGGGATATGCAGAATGCAAATAAACAACCTAACTCAGGTCAGTACTTCCTCTTGCCCTTTCATGGTTTGAATTACTCTTTTAGAAGTCAAAACCTTAACACATTAGATTGTAACACTGTATGCTCCTACTGACTTTCTGTTACAAAGTCACCAGTTGCAAATGAAAATCTATTGGACATCTGTTTTTGTGACAGCAAAAACTTGTCAAATGCATGATGATTTTGCATCGTGCTTCTGTTGCAGCTGCTTGCAACACAGTACAGTTGAGATCTGGACCCAAAGTTAATTTTTATATTCTAAACTCAGTGACTGTCTTACCTCTGATGCCTGTACTGCAACAGAACTTTGCTAGGGCTCCTTAGTGTTRCTACAATCCAAATAATAAGCTTGTTGTTTTTTATAAACTAAAAAAAATATCTTCTTACCACATTTGAAGCTTTCCGAATGATTCATTTTATAGCACTTGTATGAGGTAAACAAGTTGTGTTGTGTTTTCCACTAGTGAATTGTGGAAAACAAAGAGATGACAAGACAAATCCTTATGAAAGTATTAAAGCGGGAGGGAAGGGTATCTTATTCTTGTGCAGAATCCTCTTGTATCTTGGCTTGGTGTAGACCAGTGTAGCCTCTAGTTTTTCTTTTGCRCATCCCATAACTGGATACTTCATCTGTGTACACGTAAACTCTGGAAAGCTGTGACATAGTGTTTGGGTTCTTTGTCGGTGATGTGAGTGACTGCAGTTTGTGCAGTTTTTTAGTGTCATTCTCCCAGGGGTCTGGCATCACACAATTGAAAGTACTTCGTGCATGCGAGGTTCAGTAGTATTAAGCCATACAGAGTAACATAAAACTCAATCTTCTTTTTTTTTTTTTTCTTATGGTAGGGAAGAGGTATCTGTTAACAGAAGAAGATATAAAGTTAGAAGAATTTCAGCAGATGAAAATGGTGATTAGAAAAGAAGTTCGTGGCAATAAAGGTATAGCATTTATTTCATAGTCATCATTTTAGCATGAGTCCTAGGAAACAAACAGTTGAAGTCATAATAATATGACCCCAACTAACCCCATTTAAAGAAACAAATGACATCTTCCTCTTGCAATTTTTTGTACTTAACATTATTGGAAGATCTGAGGCTTTGTAGAATGAAACAGTATAATGGTGTGTTGGGAATATCTGTGGAGAATGTTTCATATATACAAGGTGTTTACATAAGTGTTACTGAAGTGTTTGAGCCCTCACTTTTCCAACTTAGATAATAGATAATCTAGATAGATAATAATAGATAATCTTAGATAATAATAGTTTTTTCTAATAGAAAAAACTGTTTCAGTCTACAAATCTTGCTTGAAGTATAACATCAGCACAGAAAGTGAACACAAAGCTAAATAGTTATCTAACTATCCAGCAAAGGGCTTTCACATTAATTCTTTTTCAATTTACTCTGTGATTTTTGTTGCCATATATTTTTTACATTTTTTTGCCTTATGTGGGTTCTCAGTGGTACACCCAATTCTAGATGATGTATGTGACCCAGAATATGAAAAACAAATTCAGGTTTTCCAAATAAATGTAGGAGCAGGATCGGTGGATTTTTTCTGATTTTCCCATGCTATTTTAAATGTATACAAATTCCCTTCTTTAAGAAACATGAGTGTAAACTGAAAGCTGCCATTGTTATTTGAGAAAAGCAGCTTGAAACTCCCAGTTTTTCAGGTGTGGGTATGCTAATGATACAAATTGACAACTTTTCTGAAGATTGAAATTTTAAGGCAAGAAGAGACAAATAATCAAATCTGGTTTTATATAAACTGCTCTTCTGGGACAGAGAAGGAAATATAGTTAGCTTGATGTTTTTTCTATATTAAGTAGGATTTAAATTGTGCAGTTATGAATCATAATGTAGTTATATGTTGTTGTGGGGATGATATACTCATATTGTAGTTTATCCATCCTGTGCTAGAGAAACATTGAATTTACCRTTGTGGATCTATCATTCTTGCTAAAGCAGGTTAGTAGAAGCCAAATATTTCCCTTTATAAGTCACAGTTGACATTTTAGTTTTGTACAAACGGTGTCTTCTGAAAACTGATGAAAACATTCCAAGCACGTATTTGTGTGTATGGTTTCTGTATTTAGTGTTTAATGTAATAGTTGAAAGATGGAAAGAAGTAATTATGGCTAGTAAGAAACTTGATTTAGAAATAGGAAAAGCAGTAATAACTCTTGCACATAGTAGATAATAGCTATTATTTATTATTGTTTTAAGGCCAATATTAACTACAATAGTTATGCTATTAGCTACAGCAGTTGCACAGTTACTGTGATAGTGTAAAGATTGTTCAGATTATATATGAAAGTCTTTGTGTGTTCATCAGCTGTGAAGGAATTTAAATAATCTGCATGAACAGTGTTGAATAGAAGTTCTTATGGTCATTTGAATGCTGAGTGGAATTGGTTTTGTTTCTTTGCTTGCTCTTTAGAAAAAGAACACTAAATGTCATAAAAGTTTCTTCCTTGTTAAAATTTTTACATTACCTGATATGCTGCATGACATACACAATGAAATTAAGTTCATATCTAAGTATGCATCTTTTTGTTTTCTACGTGTGACATGACTTCATGGAGACACATTGACATGTTTGTCTGTGAGAAGTTTTATGCAGTTTTTTTGGTGAAAAAACAAGCRTTCTGTTTCATTGAGTCTCTATGTTTCAGGTATCAAGTATGTAGCTCAGGTTTCATGCAATGCAATTATCTATAGACTGTTGCTGTAATGTGGTTTTTTCCAGATCCATATTTAAAAAATATTAAAGAAAAATTAAAGAAAAATGGAATAATTCTCAAAAATGAATTAAAAAATTTGCTGCATTTATGTCAGACTTCATCTGATGTGGAACTAGCCAGAAAAGTTATTTACAGGTATTTTTAACAATCCAGGTAACACTCTTCTGTCTTTACCTTTTTTGCTCCATGAATAGAGGGTAAAGTAGCTGGGAATTTTCAAGGCAGAGACCCATTCTATTATTTATCCAATGCGGGTTACTTTACTGGTAATTGAAGAGTTTATTTTTTACAAGTTTATTTGTTAGCTTGATCAAAACAATATTTTTCTTTTAAAATTAGTTTCCTGTTATCTATATATCTTTGGATGGTGAAGATAGGAAAGTGTGCCTCTCTCCTTGCACCTACAGATCTTGCTGTCTATTTAAAACTGTTCGCCTTTGGCACATTCTATGCTCTCTGTGATTAACTTTTTTTGATCTTTCTCATAGGTACCATGAACAGAATGGAATCACAACTTCATATAATTTTAAATTTGGGCCACTCTTTATGAGACTGTGTTATGAGCTAGACCTTGAAAGACCTGCAGTAGAACTTATCAAAGATCGGGTAATTCCTCTATTGAAAATATTATTGTCACTGTTATTAGTCATATATGGGTAATGGTATACTACACAGGAACCTTGCATGGGTTCATAGACTTGAAGATGTATTACAACAACAAGGTTGTCTGTGACCCTAGTGTAAGTATGCATGGCTTTTATTTTAAAATATCAACACAGTAACTAAAAGGAAATTAAATGTTAGTTTCACTGATAACTTTGTTTTATTTCTGTATGATTGATTAATTTGAAAAAAAAATTGAATAAAAAGTGTTGATGAAATAATTACTTAAATGAGCACAGCTGATGCATGTTTTCCTGCATCCTATGTTGCATTACATCATTCTTGTAAATGAACACTTGTGCGTTATTCTGTGGCAGTCTTCTGAAATCCCTTGGGTTACGTGCGCCAAAAGATTTATCATGTTGTTCTGTACTTCAGCCTCCCTCTGAATCCTGTAGAAGTGGTATGATAGTCATCTGCTTAGAAACTTGGCCATTTAGAGCTAAAGAAACAGAAGGACTTGTTTATGAAATCTCTAAAATTCTATGTGTGCTGTGATGGCAAGATATGAATCATGCCCAATATGTGCAATAACGTTTTGACTTCAAATAATCTCTGATGGCCTGTGTAAAGTCATCTCTCAGTCCAACATTTATTAATGTTATTAATTCATTAAAGCATGAGAGATGTCTCGCCAGAAATGTGAAAAATCTTGCTACTATTCTTAAGTTTGCCATGTGTAAGAAAGAGTACATACAGTCTATTTTGTTTTGGATTTTTTTAATTAAGATCTGTATCATTAAGACAGGAACTGCTGTACTTGCAGGACATAGTAACTGGCAGATGGTATGGTATGGTAACACTTCTTCAGACTCTGCTGCAGAAACTTAATACTTCTGAGATTTTGTCTATTCCCAACAGTGTGGTTGAAGTGAAACATAAAATTTAACTCCTCTTTCTTCTACTACTCTTACCATCATCACTCAAGCTCTTATGCTGATCATTTGATATTGTGATTCACAGAAAATTCTTTAAATTTCACGGTAGTGGTACTTCACCCCAAAGGTATGGTTCATCAGCTACAAGCTGTCAGTAATTTCTGCTTGCATTGACTTAGAAGTCATTCCAAAAAATTATCTCAGAGTCTCACTGTTTCATTTTTGTTTCATTCTTGACTGTACTGAGTCACTGCTGTTTTAAAATTCATTTGACAAAGAGGCAGGGAACCCAGATTGTTAAAAGTTCAACTTGCAAAGACAAGACTTATTCCAGTAAGAAAAACTTCTAAATGCTGTACGCAGTAAGACTGTTCACTGTCCTGACTTCTTTTATGCTTGCTCTGTTTCCTCTCCAGAATTTGCATGGTTTTTTCTCAGACAGTACATCATTCCATATTTTGATGACTATGTTGTTTAAAAAGGGCCATTTTGAAAGTAAGTGCTATGTTTGCTAAGGCAAGTTAATTTTGGGGGGGACGGTTCTCACTGSATTGCATGTGTCTTTTTATAAATGTATGTATATGTATATATACATATTTGCTGATTGGCTATGGTTTTAGATGTCCAAACATCTTATAAGTAACTTTCGGTGTGAATGTGTTGCACTGTACTGTGTAATAGAAATGGAAAGGCCTATTTGTTTCATAGTTCCCGGAGAATTCTTGCCATTCCAGTTGCACAGAACTGTTGTTACCCAAGAGACCTTGTTCCCCAAACCCTCTTCAGTAAAGTGTTAACTTCTCTTTGTTTCGTAGTTCCCCATAGCATTTTGTTTTCTTTATTCAAAATCTGGTTTATGTGGGTTTTGGAATGGTAAGTWCCTTAACAATATGTTTTTGCCATTTTGCATCTGCCATTTGTGTTAGAGCAAAGAGTGCCTTTTTTCCAGAACCAGACCATATTATCTTGGCTTGTCTTACTTGTGTCTTSAGAGTGTCTACTGTAATGTAAAAGTCCAATGCTTCAAATCAGATTGGCCCTTTGTGAGGATAAGGMGAAGTCATCTGACTTAACTTACAAGGCTTTCCGTGAAAAAATCTTGAAGCTTTTCAAGCAAATCCCTTCATTTGAAATTTGTTGAATGCACAGTTGTTGGTCACTTGACATTTGGCAGATTTAAGCCCAGCAGATGTCCTAGAAGTTGAGACTGAGCCACTGCAAAAAAAACTAGATCAGCACCAAAATGCAGCATTGTAAGTGGACCCTGTGCATTAAGGAGGAGTCATTATGTAGTTTGCCTGCAGTGGTGGAAGCTTTCTGGGCAGTTAGGAAGAATAAGGGTGACTGTTTCAAGTATATAGAATTTAGTTTTAGATTCATATAAAAATAGAAGAATAAAGTCATGGGCCAGTGTAAACTGTAAACCTCCTTGCCAGGTTCAAAGAGTTATAACCAACTGAGCCTGAATTAAAGTTTTTGYATTATTTTTCAAATAACAGATTTTAGTTTACTTTGGTATTTTCAAATAAATTTATTGAACTAATACTGYATTGAATTGTTTCTTCTTTTCAGTTACCACTGGTAGAGCCTTAAATTTATGAAGTGAGTAACACTATCTTTTTGATAGGTGCTTTGGAAGTTCTGGTAGAAATGAAAAAACAAGGTATATCTTTCAACAAAGAAACCTATCTACTTGCATTTGCARTATGCTACAAACTGGTAAGTATTAWGAATGAGAAAGTGTTTGAAATGCCTTCTCTATCTCCTTCCTTTTTTTTTGATTTTAAAATTTCCATGTTTTCCCTGTCATGATTTCATATCTAGTGCAAGTATTTTAAACACATTTAAGTCGTAAGGTGCTTCATCCTGCATGATATGGTGCACATATGTAGTTTCCCATACAAACTAATGTCATAAAGCAGATCTCTAAAAAGTTGCATGGACATAAGCATTAAGGAACAAATTTAGTGCAGTCTTTGATTGCTTTAGAGTATTGTTTCTCTGTGATCTTTGCATCTCTTCAGATAATACTCTGTGCTTCAGACTCAGTATTGGTTTTATAGTCTCATTTCCTTAARGCATGAACATGATATGTTCTGTTTGCCAGACATCCCCCATCCTTTTCTCCCCTCCCACTACAAGCAGTCTTGAACTATTTCTGTAATTGTACACAAGGAATAGAGTCGTCAGTGGTAATCTGTTCCCTACATGTCTGATCAAAATTGGCAGTTGAGTAGAGAAAAGAAACATAAATTAATGYCTTTAGATAGACAGGTAGGCCCTTGAGCTTACCTGTATTTTTAGCTTACATTAAAAGCACATGAGCATGGTAAGAAACTAGGATACCTCCGTTCTGTGAGTGTTTCCTTAGAACTATTTTCATTTTGTAGCAAAGTGAGATAGCAAAATTTTTTACATTGGTCTTCCTCTCCAGATTTGAGTCTGTTCTGCAATTTGGAATTTTAATGTAAACTCTTCCCAAACTCATTTGGAAACTCTTCTTCCTACTCATCTTTTAGAAACACACTGGCTGAGGAAAAAATTAAACCTCTAGACTAAACTTCCTCAGGTTTCTCAGTTAWCTATACAATGAAATTGAGTGCATATGTGATAAAAAGGAGTTAGCCTAAAATAGTACCTCAGCAGTAATTTACGTGGTATTTCTAAAATTCCSAGTTCTGATGAAATAGGCTGCCTATAGGTCTGCTGTAGGTTCTTCCCTAAAATCTTTACATGTTTGTTTAACATGGTCTGCAGTTAGAATGCCGAGATCCAGGGCATGTGCAACTGGAAGAGGTTCCTGAGGCTTCTGTTTTCTGCAGCTTCTGGCCCTACATATGTTTTCCATAGAGAATCCGGCTCATTATTACTATTGATAAAAACAGAGGGGAAATGATTCTACCYCACCTAGTTGGGTCAATAGTCACAATAAACTTGTGGGACTTTTTCACTGAGATATAATACAATTAATGGAGGAATAAGATGTTGTAATCCTTTATGCACTGAAGAGGATTAGGTGGAGCTCTTTTAAACGCTAMATCTGTTGATTCATCTGTTAGGAAGAGGAGGAGAAAACATGAAGCTGAAACGTGCTTTTGCTCATGATGCAAGACAAGKAATGTCAGAAAAAATCTTGAAGTATCTTCAAGATGCACTGTTCAAATAATAGAAATAACCAGGTGCTGATATAATTAAAAGCATTGCTGGATTTTCACCATTCTTGGTTTCTTTTGAATAACCTTGCCACAGACYAGTACAGAAAAATGTACAAGGCTGAAAGCTCAGATTATTTCCAGTGAATAAACAAAGGGATTAATGTTTAATCTTTGTACAGAGGTGTCTTTGAGGTCAGCTCTAAAACACATCTGGATGTTTTAAATCACTGTAAGGCATTGCCATACTCTGAGGTAACAGATGGTCTCTATTTTAGTGCAGGAGAGAACTACAGGCCTTTTGATGTTAACAAAGTATTAATGTAATAATAATAATAATCAATCTTCTGATAATCAAAATATTTCTAAATTTTCAAAGAACATATTTTAAATCATATTTTGAAGGCATGACACTTTGGAGGGACACTTTGACACTTAGGAACAGAAATCAACACAAAATATGAGGATTGTTATCCATATTGGTGGTACCAATGGTTACAAAACCTTAATTTTACCAGCTTTTAAGTTTAACAGATGTTACTTTGTTTGTGGTCCAGTCAATTTGGTTCATAATTTCCAGTGTGAGCAGCATTGGTTTGGAGAGTTGATGGTTTGAGAGGTAACACACAGCTAAACTTGCCTTTTACTGTCGACTGTTGAAAATTTCCAACAATAATGGAAGCTTTCTGTGTTGGAAAAAGGCAAATGTCTAAACTGTCGTATTGGAATATAAACTTCGGAAACGTTTTTCAATYATTAATTCTTAAGACAGGCTAAAAATGGGGAAATGTTCAAATTCACACATACGCAGATTTCTTTAGTGTAATGGTATTGAATAGTTCAATGCTTAGAAAATGCTGATTTTCAATAGCTATCTAATGTTGCTTTTAGGATAAAATAAGTACAAAAATTAATCTTCCTCCCTGATCTGGAAATTATTTGAAAGTGAAGAGGAAAGTGTATGTTTAGGATGCTGCCGGGGCTGTGTCATCTGTTGCAGAAGTCCAGATAGTTGGGGCAGGGTGTAGTTGTTATAATAATTGAAGTTATTTTTACTCTCTTGTGACCTCTGTCACTTCAAATATCATATTTTGATGTGTTTCTGAAAAAGTGGTGCATAGAATCTGTTTGGTTGGGTTCAGATACATACTTCCTTTGTGACTGTAGAGTATGTTAACTTCTGTATACCTTCTATATGTGATTACTGTTGCTTACAGTGCTTTCAGGTGACCAGAATAACCAGCATAACTTCTTCTGATATTTCTATGCAGGACAATTTGGAGTCTTCCAAAATCTCTGCGAAATTGCTTGAAGAAGCACAGCTAAAGGGTGACAAATTGCCACTGCGTGCATACTGCTTTGCAATAGCAACTGCTCTCAAGCAGGTACAGTCTCTTTTGCTTTTGGTTGTCCCTGGGTCTCTGTAGCCTTGTTGTAGACCGTGAAAGGGGGCTAACATGGAGAAAGTAAAACTATGTAATAGCTTCAAGTATTGGAACTTCTAGGCTCCTGAAACGTTACAGAAATTAGGATATAGGACTCTCACACAAATTGAATATGGAAATTCKGAAATCTAAACATGTGTCTTGAGTCAAATGCACACGTATTTTGTGCTAGTGACGGTACCATATACAATATTTAAAAATGATWGTCCAACAGATTAGATGTCAACATGGATCTAGTCCTACAAATATTGCTATTTACTGATGATTTCCTTTAAATAGAACTGAAACAGTAGTTTAAAATATTTCACAATCATCTCTTTAAATGTTTGTCTTGGGAGGCAGACTCAAGGGCTTTGATGTGTATTTCCCTACTGCCTGGGAGGTGGACTTTCTCCACAACAATATTTTTGCCCAGGGAGCTTTTCCTCATGAGATAATCCCTCATGCGCCTAAGCCCTGGTATGAGCAGGCCCTGAGGCAGCACAGGGTGAAAAATGGAGGAGAATAACAATTAGGAAATTCTGAAGTGTAGAATGAAGTTTGGATTTCCCCTGCCATTGATTTGTATATACAGCTTGAGCACATTCTGAACCTTCTCTGTTTCATGTTTAAACAGAGGTCAGAGACATTGGAAGGGCTATAGATTGATCTTATTCACAAATTTGAATGGATGGAGTAGAATTGTTGAAAGTTTCTTATGCACGCTGTGGTCTTTTTTGCTCTTGCTTTTGAATGGAGTCACTGAATAATACCATAACTGAAATAAATTTATTCATGGGCACAATGRCATGATAAAATTCTTGTTTTGCAAATGGAATAGGGCTCCTCATTAAATTTAATTGTTCCTTGAGCTCAATCATCTTTGACAGTTCTTCTTGCTCTAAGTCAGCTGYTTCTTGATCCCAAGTAACATTGCTCAGTCTAGTAAATGTCAATGTAACATTTACTGTCTATACAAATCAATTGATGACTTAGATACAGTACTGTAAATGTGCATGTCCAATAGGTTAGAAGGGCTGAGCAGGATAAATATCCACAGTAACATATGCTGCACTTCATTATTCYGACTGAACATGTTGAACTGAACATGTGTGTGGATCTTCTATCTTTTAGGTGATCTCATGCTCAGTGTTGGTTACATATGACAGATGTATAGTACTAAAGAGCTAGATGACATGGGAACCCCAGCATGGGGTGTTCCTTTTGCAGGCTGGGTTCTGTTTGGTGTTTGTGAGTCTTGGTAAACRCATTCTAGATGGTAGTTTGTGATTTGTTGAAAAGTTGTGAAGGGTTTTTTTGTGCAAGGTTTTGACATATGCATGAATGTATTTTTTGTTTATGATTCCTTTCCAGAATGATGTAGTGCAAGCCAAATTTTATTGTTCCCAGATAATGAGAACAGAGAACAAACTATACAATAATCTTAAAGTAAGTATATTTGCTTTATATTAAAATCCTGCAGAGGAGTATGCTATACTGGACAAAAACTCCCAGATGCAAAGTAACAGAAGGCAAGCCCCTTAGCAGCGCAGGTGTGTGTTAGTGGTGTTGCTGAGCTTCTTTTTGAGCCAATTTCTGTCTGGTGGATGACTTACATTCAGAGCTCTTAACTACCTCCACACCTTTTTTTTAAATCACTTCCCACCATAGGTGGGAATGTAAAGTAGTCCAATCCTACATCTATGAGTGTAGACCCATGAACAGTTTGTATTTATTATTTTTGCTTTCTTCTCCAAATTAAAAACCTTGCTTCAAATAAATGCTCTAACCACTTCAGGCCTCCTTCAGCCCCACAAACCTTAACCACGTGTGTACAACAGTTTTTTTCTTTACTTGCACAGTCTACAATCTGAGAGAAAATCTGCATGTGCCATGTAAGTGACCTCTCTAAACTATGGTAAAAACCCCTTTATTCGAGAGCAGGTAGTGCAGCYTCATCAAGGAGCTCTGTCGCTCTGTCTCAAGGCACACCCTTCTTTCCAGGTCCCAGCTGTGAAAAAAACCCRAAACATTTTAAGAAATTGATCATTCCATCTCTTTCTTTGCAACAGATGGATTTTTCTTAGTGCACCATCTAGAAATGTATTTTGTCCTGCTTTGCTTCATGTCTTCRTCAAACACATTTTTAAAAATTCATGTTCTTATGATATGTACTATTTGTGTGGTGTGTTTTTATTTTACTTTCAAGGTTCTTGTCCAGCTCAGGTGTGGTTGGCTAGAAGAAGTAATAAATACATTAGAGGCAGCAGTGGAAGTAGATACTCCTCCCTTTGTGAAAAAAACTGAGTTTTCTGAGCAGGTGGTAAGTATACCGTAATGAGAGAACATTCATGGTACTGGGCTGAGCCACAATAATGGTGGTTCACCTACAGAGCTTCAGGTGCCTRAGTTCACCTGCTGTTGTTGTTTGGGTTCTGAAGCATTCTGGTGCCAAAGCACCTGGCTGGCTTCCTCTACTGTTGGACAAAACACTTAGCTCTTCACTTCATTTTTTTTTATTGTGGGTCTTTCTTCTAGAAGCTCATRTATCATCTGAATGTAGATGAAGCTTCTCCTAGTAGCATTAAATAATTTAATCCCTTGCCTCATATGCTATTTTCATTTCATACGAAATGAGAATGACAGCTGATATTGTTAGATTGGTAATACTTGAAAGACTTGTGATTCTATACAGAGAAGTGTGATATGGGAAATAGTAGCTTTTGCTATTTAACTATATTTTACTGTGAAAACTAGCTTTTACAGTCCTAATCAACAAGAAGGCTTCCTTCACAGTGCTTATGTAGCCCCTATCAGTTTGTCAGCATTGCTGTTGCTTTTCCTGAAACTTTCTTAGTATATTCATTTTGGATGTGCCTATGGAACAAAGCATTTTAAGATTGTGTTTATAATTAAATGCTTAGCCTTTCATTGCTGCCTACTAAACATTACTAACTGATACTCAATAAATATTAGGAGAAGGGGAAGCCCTACCTTTCAAAACATAGCCCATATATGTTAACCGCTATGTTGGAAAGAAGTTTTTTAAGGAGCATTTAATTTTGTAAAGTCATTGCAATAAGTGTTGCATGTGTTAGTGTTGTATTTTGACTTCATTTAGGAAATTTTCAGCTGCCAAAAGGAGACTAAGCATTCATCCTAGAAGTTCCCTTCCACAGAAGTTTTTTGATAGTAATATTTTTAAGGGATTTACKTAACATTTGAACTCATAATCTTGTGTATGTCATACACAACTTCTCAGTGTTCTATAGTCTGAATTTTATTGATTTGTAGTRCACTGCACATTTACTGAGATACGTAATAATAATTTGAACTGTGCTGACCTGGAAAGTAGATTCCAGGAAGCAATTACATTTCCTGGATTTAAATAGAAGATTATTGTGTTTGTCTGTACTAGGGACCGAAAATAGGATTGTACAAGTTGGAGGAAATTTTAAATGTAATAAACTGTCTCTAATAGATAACCAGTGCATTTCCACCATTTTGGAGTGATGCATAATGTGCTCTGCTTAAAATCCTCATCTTATGAGTCATTGCCTTTGCCATCTATATTACTCTGTGTACTTTTTTTTTACTACGAGTTATTGCTTGTGTTCAGTGTAGTGGTAGAATGAGATCTCCACTTGCTGAACTGGAACAATCTGTCATTTTATCTTCCTTAGCTGGCTGCAGTCAGGGAAAAGATGGAAGAGAACCCTGACCTTTCTGTCAAATTAGGAAATATTTATACGAAACTACAAGCTTCAGGACGGATAACCATGTGCACATTGGAAGACATGCTTTTCCAGATTCCTAGTACAAAGAAGGCCACTGCAAAGCTTTTAAATCAGAAACAATTGGGCTATCAGGTTGCTAATCCATTTCAGTCAAATCTATTGTTAGAATAGTTTGGTATATGATGCTGAACTGAACTGCTGGTAGCATCTCTTCTAATCTAGGTTCARATAAAATGTCTTTTCCCCTTTCCTGCAGTGATCAATTTTAAGTTATTTGTATCAGATTTAATTTTAAATATAGATCATGTAGTTTCCATGTTTCAGTTAGATGTGAATAAAGCTRTGACAGTGAGTATTGTGTGTTGTTCAGAAAGGATTGACTTTTTCCTTAGGCTCTTGTATCAGGATTTTCCTATGCTAAATGTTCTGGAAGTGAATGGATGGAAGTGAACAAAATAGTGTGAATATATCTGACCTGACTTCTGTGGTTCATGAGAAGAAAATTTGGACTTYGTCAGATGTTATGTTCTGACTGAAAGGACAGAGGCAGGCAAGAGTCCAGATAAAAGAGTATGGAAGTGCCTTACTGGTTTATTCAAAGCCTGCAGATGTCAAGAGAATCAGAGGGAAACATCTTTTGTCCCCTTTAATATCTTTTTCTTCTAAAAAAATGTATTAAAATCTTTTTTTTTTTTTTGTATCAGCTTGTATCATGGAAATGGTRTGGGAATTAACATGGTAACCAAGTGATTGCTCTCTCATTTGAAGGAGATTCCTAATCAAAAGTCAGTCTCAGAGTGAGTGACCTCACAAATTGCTTCCTTCTAATTTTCTGATATTAAGATTCCTGGGATAAGCAGATCTTGATGCAAATTTTCAACTAAGTCCTAAAAAGTTTCTTAGAGAGAGTATGATCATGGGTTTAGCTACAGATACATAATCTGCATAGTTCACCCTATTTTTTTATTGAAAAACTTACATCAAAGCTTCACTTTGACCTGGCTTTAATGACTCCAGATCAAGTGAGCTTGATTCTAGCAGTAAAAAGCTACTTGTATCTGCGARTCCTGTATATCCAAAAATCTGAACTCAGCATCCAGAATAAAAGGAACTGGAAACAGATATACCTTGGCTAGCATTTGTGAACCTTTGGATGCCTTTGCTTGTGAAATAATGAACAAGTCAATAAGACAATTTGGTGGTACTATGAGCACAAGACTAGGTGGAACTCAGCTTGCTACTCTTCAAGTTGGGCTGCACTATCTCTCCTCTGCCTTCTGTTTCTTTTATTTTGTCTCTGTACCACTCAAGCAAATRTCAGAACTCAGAGTATACTTTCTGTGAAAAAAATCTGTATGTCTATATCATTGAAACCAGTGAGACACTGAAGAAACAAGAGCCTATCCATGYGGAAGCTCTTCTTCAGAACAAAGTAGCTACAGTAGGTGGGGCGTTTCCTTTTGAAGTTCTATCTCTGTAACTTATTTCTGTCACAATGTGTTCTGTTAATATTTAAATACACAAAAACTATTACAAGGTAGATGGAATTTCATGCAAGTGTTAAGTGGAGAATAATTTGCAGTATGTCACACTTCTGTGAATGGTGAGTACACTTTTTATGGCTGGTGGCATTAATCTAAGAACATAGCTATTACTTTGTAATATTACGTAGTATGTAATTTCATGCATAATCTTGCCCTAGTTGGAAATACTTTCAATGTTTCCAATACTATGTGCACYCTTGAGAAGTTCCCAATCTTTTCTCCACCAATAAATTTGTTATAAGATTTGTAAAGGCTGCTTGCAATGTGGCAAGGATCAGTGGCAAAAAAATTAAAGCAATGAATTTCTATTCCGTTTACTCTGTTGGTACAGACAGGGGACCTGTCTGATATCATCCAGAACAACTGTTTGGTGTTTAAAGTGTATAAGTTACATATTTTTAAAGACCATGAAAGACAGTTTGACCCATTTAGCCTTGTGTAGCAAATACGTAAGGTAATTTCTGTTTAATTTCCTTATTTGTCACTTTAAAACTTGTATTAATTACAAGAACTTGTGGCATCCTAGGACTATGCATGTTCATTCTAACCTGAATTATTTCGGTTCCTAACTAAGGCCTGTCTCCTACCTGCAAATGAAATAATGATAACTTTAATTAAAAATATGAATATACCTTATGCGTTCCATTCTTTGTTGTCTTGACCACTTGTTTTCTTGAGGCTTATTTACTCTAGGTAACAATACTAARTGGACTGTTTGTTTTAAAGAAATAACATCTTTGTCTTGAGAAAGGGAGGAGATGGATTTAAATAACAATGCTTTAGTAGAAAGGAAAGCAGGGACTCAATAAAGATTAAATAACAGGTTTAAAGACACACAAAATTCAGACAATTAAAATTAGGATATTGAATGTTTCTCTGTAAGTGTTGTAGAAGACTGGTAGCATTTACCCTTAGGAAAAAAAGCAAATATTTATCAGTTGATTTCCCACTATGTATAATTTGTATCATACAAGTCCCAGAGACTTTTATTTGGGAAATTTTGGATTTGGGTGATTATTTATGAATTAATCTTTGAGTGCATCAGGGTTGTAAGTACACTAGCTTTTGTGCTGAAGAGTCTTCAGCCTTGTGCTTAGTTGAATGTACTTAGGTGGTGTTGACTCCTGGGTTCCCAGCAGCCAAGGAAACCAAACTTTTCTAAAGACAGGCAAATACTTAGGGGTTTTGCTGGATTAGAGTGGCTGGAATGTCAAGGGCTGAGTTACTAGACAGCTCCCATGGAGTCAGCCTCTGAGAATAGGTTGTGCTCTGTTACTGCAGCTGATACTAAGTTTATATCAATGATGAATCTTAAAATCAACGAGAAGTCAATGTTCTTAAATTTAATTAACTTTCTTTTTTTACAATCTGAAAAAAAACCCAAGGCATTTACATTTCAAATTGAATTGCTGCCATTTCTTTCTCTAGGTTTAATTGCAAGAGATTCTGTAGGAAGTGCTGYTTCAAATGTTATGTGTAGTAAGTAGCTTAGATGAGGATCCAAGGGSTCTTTGAGGTATTCCTGTGTGGAAAAGAGTAAGTTTTTATGCTATTCAAATATTCTTTCTCAATTAAAATGGAACATGAGTTTTGTGCATGTTCTTGCCCAGCAGCTTTTTGGAACAGTGATCCAGGAGACAGTAGGTGGCGTTTCTTGACCATGCTGTCCTGCGAAGGGACAGCATTATTTCCAGGGATGGCCTGCAGTGTCACTGACATAAGGGCAGGGCAAGATGAGTGGCTTACCCAATGTTTTATGAGTGCCATCCAGGCAATAGTCAGCTGCATTGGATAGTTGGTAGTCATTGGCGATGGCTGCAAGCCTAGATATTTACAGCTGCTAGATATTGAAACCTGCTGCATTTATTGAAACAACTCATTTTTGTTAGTGATCACACTATCTTGTCTACAGTGTGTTTTGGAAATCCTAATCAGTGACCTAGATGACAGGCTGTTGATGTTGTTTCTTGTACACCAATGACAATTATAAATGCTTACATTACTCTACCTTTAAGAGAAAGTTGGACCCCTTTTCTGACTTAAATTTTGAAAGCATTCATTTTTATCTTGAGAGAGGGTCTGGATTGTGCACAATCTCTAAAGGACTGACATTCCTCTGGTATAGATGCTTCTGCTTTTCTCCATGAGTTAGCACTTCGTTGTTTTTCATATTTCTTTCCACAAACATCTTGAGTCACGGTGAGGAAGGTTCACCTTTTTTTATGCKTCTCCCAAGTTAATTTTCTGCTTCAAAACAATAAAAATGAATGTGGAAGKCTTAGTCATTGCAAGAGAGCTCAGGAATGCTTCCAGGCATCAAGAAAAGTGTTTGCATATTTAATGAATCTTCTAAAGTTTAAATAGCACAAAACATAAATAACACAAAAAATGATTTGTTAGAAGTTTGCAGCATACAGAAAGGAGGTAGACCTACCGTGCATATGTCTGAAGATACTCTATTTTGTTTTCCTTTTGGGCTTGTTTTCACAGGTGCTTCAGGTTTGCATCCTTCTAAAAAAATTTATTGCAAAATAGGAGACTTGTTTTTTTAAGCTACATCCACTGTGGCTGCTTGCACACCCTTCTGTTGCCACATACTCCTTAGAAAAGTTTTTAAAAGATTATGTCATTCACTGCCTTCATCTTCTGTTTCTTTTAATCTGCTTCTTATGAACAGCATTTTGAACAGCAGCTGAGTCTGATTGCCTACTCAAGACTACTTTTTAAGTAATTTCACTTTAATCTGAATGATAAGTTTAAGCAGTGAAATAAACTAGGAAGACTTAAATCTGCTACAGGTACTACTTTTACTGGTCCCATGTTTTGTAACATGAAATATTTTTCTATGTTCTTACCTATCTTTGCTTGTGCTATTGAAAATAGTTGGCTGTAGACTTTCTGGGACTTTTTTTGTGTCTTTCCTCTGTGCAGTTGTCTGGATCTCCTGGTAATTCCAGCAGCATRTGCAATAAAAAGTGATTGTCTGACTTCAACTCCCCAAGGAGGGATGCCGTTTTTTTCCAAATACAGGTGCTCTGACTACAAACCCTTGTGTGTGCTATCAGGTATTGTCAGCTTCCAAGTCCCTGCGCCAAGCAGCAACTCAAAATGAATGCCGGAGCACTGGTATCAGAGGGAAGTTGAGTTAGGGACCATGTGCTCAGATCAGATGTGTGGGGTCAAAGTCAGCTGGGTCTGGACCTTGTGTCTGCATGAGGGGTAAAAGTTCTTCTGTTAGTAACAGGAGAMTCCTGCCTGTGGAGATAAAGCCAGTAATCCAGCAGCAGTCTGGAACATGGGGAGGTTCTGCCCAGGCTTGTTAATCCTTTGGACTTTTACCCTTTGCTGATCTTCTGTGTGGGCACCTGTAATGCTGCTGGAATCAATCGAGTGCATTAAGGATGGCTGTACTTGGGAGGAGGGTAAAGGGCAGGTGGGACTGATGATGTCTGTCAGATCCTGACCAGGAGAGAGGGAAAAGTCTAAGTGGACTAAGGATGCCAGAGTCACAGCTCTGCATGGCTGGTCTCGCAGACAGGCCTTGGCTTCTGACACCGCAGCACGGTGACAGCTGCTGGTTAAACTGGGATAGGTTTGACAAAGCTTCTAAAAAGCTTCCAAAGTTCCCAAACAAGCTTCCCACCCAGTGAGGATGGCTTTACAYGAGGTGTGCCAGGAAGGGTTACCACAGCCTGGAGGGAACTGAGCGCACAAGAGAGAAAGTACAGATGAATCTGGCAAACTCTGAAAGGGAAAGCTCTCACACTTCCCCTGTAAAGGCAGTGCAATTTGGGATCCATTTAGAACATTTGTACACTGATCTGTGGGCATAAGGAACAAGCAGGAAGATTGTGTATGCACAACTGCWGACCTAAGACCTTGTAAGGATTATGGTGATGTCGTAGGATAGCTCTCATGAGTGTGGTGCTGGAGTGGAGGGATTCAGGAGAGACAGGGTGGGTAAAGACAGCAGAGAGGAGAGGTTCAGCTCTGTATAAAGCAGGTGCATGGATTTTACCTTAGGATAGGCGATGAGTGCGTAGTGAGCTTGTAAGGATCAGAGGACAGACCAACACAGAAGAAACTTCAGTGGATATCTCCTACATTGTGCTTGATAAAGAAGGTGCAYACACACATAAACACAGGTGAAGCATTCTTTAGGCAGCTGGAGAAAGTTTCAGTCACAAACCCTAGCCCCTGTCTGGGCCTTTAGTCACCCTGCTGGAAGGAGAGCACTGCTGGACAAATGCRTCTAGAAGATTTATGGAATCTTGTGTACTGAGTGTAATGCCATGGTGCACACGACAGAGGATTCGGTAAGGGAAGATGCACTCTTGGGCCTGTGACTCACAAATAAGYGACTATCACTGGGTAGTGTAATGGGCAAGGTCAACCTTTGCTGCAGAAACAATGACTCTTGTGGTGTCAAGAATGTGTAGTTTAATATCCTGAGAGGAGCAATCTAGATTCAGAATTTCAGAAGAGAAGGTTTTGGCATGGTCAGGGACCTGCTTCCAWTATCCTGTAGGAAACTATCCTGGAAAGAAAATCTGGTCAATCTGATTGGTCTCCAGGGGCAACCTTCTCAGAGCACTGGAATGATCTGTTTCAATGTGCATAAAATAAAGCAAGTTGGAAATGGGCCAAAATGAACACAGAGCTCCTRATTGGGCTCAAACACACACACAAAAAAAAAAAAAAGATGCACACAGAGAGTGGAAGCAGGATAGGCTACTCAGGAGGAATGCAAAGGCATTGCCTGTGCATGCAGAAATGAAGTCAGGAAAACCAAAGCTTAGTTGCTGTTGAAACTAACAAAGAATGTGAAAGATGGCAAGAAAGACTTTTTTTCTGAGGGTATTGAAAACAAAAGAAAGATTAAGGAAAATGTGGCCCTACTAGTCAGTGGGACAGGGGAGCTAGTGACAAATGACAGGAAGAAGACTGAAAACCTTATTCCTGTCTACAGCATCCTCATCAGATGTACAGCATCCTCATCAGATGAAAAAAAGATGGTGCAGCTAGAAGTTGAATAAAAGAATTTAGCATGAGGGAGATCAAATACTGAAAGAGGATTACCCAAAGAGGATGAAAAATTTCTGTTCTTGGAGGTCTTCAAGACTTACTGGGAACTTGGACATGGCCCTAAGAAATTTGACCTGATTAGACCAATTCTGAGCTGTGGTTTGGAGGTTCATTTCAAACTGAATTGTTCTGTTGAATATCCTGARAAGCAAATGAAGATTTCATATTCCCAGCATGCCATGATGGAGCTGCCTTCTGCCCAGTTGTGTAGAAAAGGTTCTGTTTTAGTCTCTTCAATACTGAGACTGGTGATTACCCATCCTGATCCCAGTGCTCACTTGGGGTGTCAGGATTATGAGTTATAATGAAAATCCTGGACTCAAACCTGGCCYCTCTGTTGCCTCTTTTCTACCCAGAGTACAGCAGTGCAAATTCCCAAATCATATGACAATCTTGTGCTCTACAGATAGTCACCATTAGCTAGTCTTGCTAATTCCATCACAAATGG